GTGATACGATCTGATTTGTATTTTAAAAACGATTTTAAACAGGCCGCTGTGTGGAGAATGGTTTTAGTGGAGGTGAAAGTGGATATATGTTTCCAGCCAAGGAGGCTCGAGTGTGTCGGAGGCCCCAGCCCTATGGGAAAACATCACAATTAAGCTCAACAGTTCAATTTAAAGATTTCTAGGGTCCCAGAGAGTCAACCCCTCCCCGATCTTGCCTTGGAGATCAGGCGTGAAAAGTGAATGTAACTTAACAAGTGAATTAAAACCATGATGTGCTTTTATTTTCAAAAATTAAGCATTTTCGAACCTGACTGTCTGTCCTGTGGCCTGAAATGTGGGTTCTCACGTGAAGATCTGGGAAAGTGGCTGTGGAGGCGACAGTGACAACCTAATGTTCAGAGCTGCTCGCCTTTAGACATGGACGTGCCCCCCAGGGGTACCCACAGACTTCAGAAAAGCACAGCAAGTCAAACGATTAATCGAGCTGCTCGGTTTTACGATATCTCTACGGAAACTCTGTGTGAACGCCTGGACTCGCGAGCTATAGAATCACACCCTGAAGTCTTCCTCCGTGGCAACCTGTGCCTCCAACGTCACGGGCCACAGCTCCACTGTCCCCACTGCTTCCGAGAGAGGCACTACGGTGTCGGGGCTGGACTTGGGATGTGAGTCGGGCAGCCTGAGTTCAAATCTCTGCTTTTCCACCTGTAGCTGAGTCTTCACAGGCAAGCTCCCTAACCCTGCTGAGTGTCAGATGCCTCATCTGTAAAATGAGGATGACCATAATATATGCCTCATGGGGTTCTCGCAAGGGTCAAAGAAGCAGATGCCATGAGGTAGTCAGTGCACCTGCTGGAAGGGCATCGGCGCGTCAGGCAGGCATGTGCTTTTGACTCTGTGTCATGCTCATTAAGAAGTCCTCTGTGCCTTCTCTGTTTCAGAAGTGGTCCGCAGACAGCGGCTACCTCCCTTGCGAGACTGTCATTGTTGGAAACGCAGAATCTTAGGCTCCACTCCAGACCTGCTAAATCAGATTTTGCCCTTGAACAAGGTCCCGGGTGATTCTTGTGGGTAATTCTATTTGAAAGTGCCAAAATGTGTATAGGAATGAGAGCTGGATCAGTTTTCATTATGGAAACCTGTTGGCAGCCTCCGGTCGGTGCAAAGAGATCTCAGCACCAGGACCCGAAGCATACGGGGACCCTGACTCACAGGGCACCCTTAGACCCTTCTGGGACTAAGTTTCTTCATTTGTAAAAAACGATCCATTTATTTTCGAGGTTCATTGAGGAGAAATGAAATAATATGAACTAATGTGAAAGCTGATGTCAAAGAGTGAAAAGTAAGTTATTTTTATCTTGTTTATGTAGAAAAAGGACATCGTCATTCCGATAGCTGTTAGGACAATTTTCAAAGAATCCGGTTCTCCATTTTCTACATTCGCTTGCCAAATGGCAATGGATAAGACCTATTATTTGGCGTCTCAATTAAAATAATGGAGAGAGACAGTGGCCCAAGAACTACAGCTTGATATTTTTGGAAACTAGTGGGAGGGTTTTGTAGTCTGGCTCAAAGGCATTGCCCTAGAAAAGACTAGAATGTGGCCATGGGGATGTTTATGCCATTTACAGAATAGTCAGAATTGCAGTATAAACATACAGCGGCCAGGTGCAGAGGTCACCAAGATGCTTCAAGTGATGTATCTTAAGGCGTCACACGTTTAGCAGCCATAAAAGCCTTTTATTATTTTCAAACGTCACGATCAAAAGCAAGAAACAAGTGGTATTGTTTCTATCAGCCAAAAGTACTTGTTTATAGTGTTTATATTATATCTACAAATACACCCCCCCCAATATATTTCTAGCACAAGAAAAACACACAGTTGTACAGCAAAGACACAGCACGACACAGAAGAGTCCATGGTGTGTGTGTGCGCGCGTGTGTGTGCACGTGTGTGTGCGCGTGTGTGAGAGAGAGCGCAGCCAGAAAGCACAGCCTGAAGCTGTCTCGGGCAGCGGGGTCTGACGGTCCGAGCGGCCTCCCCCGATGACACCGTGTGAGCCAGCAAACCTTGCCCTGTGCTCAGGGGATGAGTTGCTTTACTCGATAAGGTACAGAGGTCGATAACAGGTCACCCCACTCGAACGCCACGATGCACTCAAGGAAGGAGCAGTAATTCCAAAAACAATTCTCTTCCCTAGAAACAGTCAGGAAATCACATGAGAGAGACACAGCTTCCAGGAAAACCACAGGCGTTTCCACGACCTCTGCCACGATCTGGAACGGCAGGGAAGCAGTGAGACACAGGCCCTCCCACCCACGAGTCCCTCTCTCGTTTTAAAGATGGAAAAGGAATAACAGGAAAAAAGGCTCTTTTACAATAGGGAACTCTACACCTGAAGGTAGTCTAGACCTCAGAATATCTTGTACACAGGTATGCTCTAAATTTCCAAAGCACTCGATTTCTTTTTCATTAGAAATTTGAAAGCTGCCTTAGATGCAGTGCATAAAACCCAACCATAACAGCAACAGCAAAAACAGAAGCGGCTAACATTTCGATGCTCTTTTTCGGGGGGGAGACTGGTGGGGGGTGTGGGGGAGGAAGGGGGCAAACTGCACAGCATTGCTTCTTTCGCAAAGAGTTCATTGGGAAACCGTTTTCCTGTACACGGGGTAATAGAATAGAAACACAGCCTCTAATGAAGGACGTGCCAAGCCATCTGAGCGGCTGACAGCCGGAGGTCACGGCTGTGACAGGTGGCTCTGGAGAGCTTCGAACCTCCCTCCCGTCAGTGAGAGTCCTTCAGTCTGATCTCACCTGAAGCACGAAGATGCGGATGGGGAGCAGGTGCGCAGGCAGGCGGTGCGGACCCGGGTGCGTGGGAATGGATGCAGAGAGCGCCCGCCACGGCCTTCACGGGTTTCTCCCGGTGACTGTTCCGAACCCTCTCAGAGAGCCTGTGAGTGCCCATTTCTACTTTCGAAAGGGTTTGCAAGCTTCCGAGCAAAGGACATGCACGGTCAAGGCTGTTAGCACGGTTTTTCGTCTTCGATCCCCGGCCCCTCCCCCGCTTCTTTCTAAACACCTCGGCCGGATGGAGGGTCGGAAGCCACGGGACCATCCCGCACTCCCGCGGCCCGTGCCGGCCCCGGGCTCAGCCGTCGCAGCTGCACAGGATCTCCTTGAAGGTGTTGCGCAGCTCCAGGCTGCGGAAGGCGTAGATGAGGGGGTCGATGACCGAGTTGCACATGATGAGCACCAGGTAGGTGTTGAAGTGGGCGGTGTAGCAGACGCAGTAAGGGTGGGTGGGGCAGGCGATGATGAGGACGAGGTGGAGAAAGAAGGGGGCCCAGCAGACGACGAACACCCCCAGCAGGAGGGTGATGGTGACGGCCCCCTTCATGCACGAGTGATGCTGCGGGGCCGCCCCGTCGGCGGGGGGCAGGGCCGCGATGCGCTTGACGTGCAGCCGGGCGAAGAGGAACATGTGGACGTACAGGGTGCCCATGAGCAGCAGCATGGCGAAGAACATGGTGATGAGGCACACGATGACCATCTTGCTCTCGGAGTAGAGGATGAACACCACGCCGCAGACGCCGCAGCACACCCAGATGGCCGTGATCAAGGCGAGGGCCTTCCTCACCGTCATGATGCTGTGGTAGCGGAGCGCGTAGAAGATGGTGACGTACCTGTCCACGGCGATGGCCAGCAGGTTGCAGATGGAGGCCACCAGGGAGATGCAGATCATGGAGTCGAAGACGTTGTCCATGTGCTGGACGAACTGGTCCTCGAAGGCCAGGTAGTCGCTGTTGACGACGGCGATCATGATGGTCTCCAGGGCGTTGGACACGCTCACCAGCATGTCGGCCACCGCCAGGCTGCAGAGGAAGAAGTACATGGGGGAGTGCAGGTTGCTGTTCTTGCCCACAGCCAGGATGACCAGGATGTTTTCCAGCAGGCTGATGATGCCCAGCGCCAGGAAGACCTCAGGCTTGATGAAGACCTGCTCGCAGAACCCACTGCCACTCTGGTTGCTGGAGGAAGGGGCTGCCAGGCGCTCCGAGCCATTGGGCAGCGTCGGGTGAGCAGACAGCAGGCAGCATGAAGCATTCATTGCTGACAGACGGGCCGGTCTGAGCTGGGGCCGGGGGATGCTGCTGCTGCTGCTGCTGCTTACGGGGGAAAAGATCTCCTTCCAGGTACTTATTGTGGATGCTTGTCCAGTCCCGACCACTTAGATTCTGTTCTCCCCAGAATGAAAGGAGGATGAAGAGAGGAAGGGTTAGAGAGAGAGAGAGAGAGAGAGAGAGAGAGAGAGAGACAGAGGGAGAGAGAGAGAGAGAGATATTGATTCCTAGGAGGCATACGGATAACTTTCCTCTGCTTCTCCAGGACGAGCGGTTAAAGATTCTCTTCCCTGTCGTCTTCCTTCTCTCTCTCCCTTACCTCTCACCCCCTCTCGCGTCCCCACTTGGGAACAGAAAACCTGGCACTGGTTGTTGCTACAGTTACGGCTGTTTTCATAGCAAGACAGGGGATGTAGAACCTGTCGTTAGAAGTGAGAGGTGAACACTCAGTTTCCATACACGCCCGGAGGCAAGCGACTGCTTCATCTTCAGCTCAGCGAAATGACCACTGAGCACCTGGTGCCTCTGACCACCGGCGCGGGTTCCCGGAGAGATGGAAAGGCAGGCTGGCGCCCTCTGCAGGCCAGACTGCTCATCTGCGTGCTGGCCGGGCTGGGAGGCTTTTGTCATGGAAACTGCCACAGGCATTCATCCATCTGTTTATTCGTTCATTCCTTCATCTTTAATGCAAGCACTTACTGAGCACCTACTGTGTGTCAGGTCTCTGCTGGGTGCATCATGTAGTGGTGAGCAAGACAGACGCACCGTCCCTGTTCCCCCAAACTCAGAGTCTCGAGTGGGAGACGAGAAATTTGGGAATTGTATTTCGGCGTGATAAAGGCTTGAGTCAGGGAAGGCCAGGGCCTGGGGGACTATTGAGTCAGGGAAAGTTCCTGGAGGAAGGCACGTCTAAGCTTTGACTCTGAGGAGGGGCAGGCGATGTCCGGTGGTGAGGTGGGGGCCGGGCTTGGAGGAGGGTTCCAGGCAGATGAATAACGTGCCCACAGTATGGAGGCAAAAAGCAGTGGTCCCCCACCTTGGCGTGGGCACCGTGTGTAGGATGTGGGTGCAGAGACCCCACCTGGCCTCCGGAGTCAGCTTCCCCGGGGGAGGACCTGGGCAAGGCTGTGCTCATTTTGACAGGTGACCAGGGGCATGGCCAGGGTCGCGATCTACTGAGAAGGAAGCTTGGTGTTTTTGAAGAACTGAAAGTAGGCTGCTCCGGCCTGAGTGTGGAGCTGGGGGACATAATGTGAGAAAAGAGTCTGCAAAGGGGTGCGTGTGCATGCGTGCATGTGTGTGTGTGTGCGTGTGTGCGTGTGTGTTAAAGGCCAGAAGGGCCTGGATCCTGAAGGACGGTTATGGTCATATTTGGGGGTTTGGACTGCATCTGGAAAGCAGTGGGGGGCTGTGGAAGGAGGGCTCGTCCGCAGGGCAGGGGCGACGGGGGTCAGGCGCTCTGGGTCAGGGCGGGACGGGGTTGGAAGAGGAGGTGCAAGGAGTCAGGGAGGCCAGGGCCTCAAAGCTCCAGGGCGAGATGACGATGGCCTGAAGCAATGGGCAGGGGGCGTGGGGCCGCGGGAGGCTGGACAGAGATGTGGAGGAGATTTAGGGGAGGTTGGACGCGGGACGGTGGCAGAGGAAGACCAGGGAACGCCCCCGCCTCCTTCTGAAGTAACAGGGAAGGTAGAGATGCCCTTTGAGCTGCAAAATGTGAAAAGTAGACTTTGGCACTTGACTTTAATGCTTGGTTCATGTTGGGTTTGATGCTGCCCCCAACGATCATGTAAATCCTGGAAACGCAGAGACCCCTCTACCCCCCAACCCACGAATTCCAGGTGGATTAACGATACGTTTAATTATTATCTAAGTATGCGAGTTTGTGAGTGTGTGTGTCTGTGTGTATGCATGAGATAGAAGAAATATGCACGTGGAAATAGAAGAGAATTTAGAATATTTATAAAAATTTGGAGTGGAGAGATCTTTTGAACAAGACGGGCCACCCAGAATTTAGTGTGGAAAAATAAAACCATTACCGAAGTAAAAGGCAAACAGGAAAAAAACGTTTGCCATATATCTTCTGTATATAAAGAATACTTTCACGTTAATAAGAAAATGATGAATTACCTCTTAGAAAATCGGGCAAAAGATAGGAGTCGAAATTCACCGAAGAGGAAATGCGAGTGGCTAATCAACGTGAAAAGGTGTCCAGCTTTCTGGGGAGTCAGAGAAATGAAGATCAAACCAAGACTTCGATACCGTTTTCCCAGTTAGATTGAAAAGACTTAAAAAGATGTCAAATTCAGGAGAGAATATTGGGGAAGACACTCCTAGTGTCTGTGAATAGTTTCACCCATGGGAAGTTTGCACTGAAATAAAAAATTGCCCCTGGGTTTGGATGTGAGGGTGGGGTGCGGGCCCTCCTAGCCTGATCAACTTGAGCTTGGAAGTGATGGGGTGTGGACACCACCTGGGCCAACCCTTAGCTAATGAGAGCTGGCGCCAATGGGTACATACTCCAGCCTCCTGTCCTTCAGGTGGACAACTTTGCACACAAGCTGCACGAATTTGCACGTCATCCTTGAGCGGGGCCCAGACTAATCTGTGCATCGCGTCAGTTTTAGCAGATGAGCTGCCGGAGTGAGCGCTGGAGGGGAAGTCATTTCAGGAGACCTAAGGATGTCTTGTATCCCCGATTCTCAGAGGAGTGTCTGGCACTCAGTAAACATTCGTCGAATGGGTGCATGCGAGTGAATGAGCAGAGGGAGCGCAGACTTGAAGAATTGCCGCGTGTTCTGGTCCTGCATTGGTATCAGTAGAACTCAGAAGGGATCCGTTTCTCTAAGTGAAGCCTTCGCAAGGGATGTTTGATCGTGTGCCACTAACCGTAATGCATCTTCAGACTGGTTCCCAGTTGTTTCCGGCTGCTTTCTGTTTTGGTCTCAGGTGTGTGAGTGGAAAGGGATAATGTTTACCTGGCTAGACAAAAACTCATTATGGGTAGTTTGGGACCTGGTCGCCTTTCTAAAGTGGCAGCCAGAATTAGAAACACCTAGGTGGCCATTTTCCTAAGTGAAAACCAAGCACAATAATTTGTTTCAAAGTGCTCAGGTGATGAGGCATCATTCTGTTTTCCTAATGCGTTTCTGTATTTTGAGCTCTTTCTAAACAAGTACTGTCAGCGTCTCAAAAGCAATGAGGCAGGAGTGGATGGACATAGGGACAGGGGTTGGGGTCAGAGTCCCCTCGCTCCTGTCCTGACGTGCAGGACATGTGCTGGTGCTCTCGCATGTGTGTTTATCACGGACACAGGTCTGAAACCCTCAGCTCAGTGCGGAGCCCACAATTTCCAGGTTCAGGGTCCAAGACAGGGTGACCAGGTACCATATGGTTGCCCTGCACTCTGGCAAGGACAAATCAGTGGTCCGGGCAGGGCTGGCCGAGCCCCTGACATGCGTTTCTGTGATGCTATCGTTAGGTTCAACGAGGTTGGTCGTGGGCTGGAACGTTGCAGGCGCCATGGGTGCTGACTTCCGTTTCATTCACTCTCTCAGGGGCGTGCTCTACTGCAGGTAACAGAAAATGATCGTCCTATAAGAAGCAGGGGTTTCTTTTTCTCCCATGGTATGATGTCTGGAGGTAAGTGGTGGCCGGTCGGTTATAGGCTCCACAGTTTCAGGGTTACCGTCTCCACAGACCTCTTAACGTTTTTCTCATGGATGCCACCTGAGGGGCAGCAGACGGTAGCAGCTCCAGATGTCCCATCTGTGACAGGAAGACCACGGAAGCCATTTTGTCCCCCTTTATGAAGAAACACCTTCCTTTACAAATGTCTCTCTGTCTCCCAATAGACTTATAATTATGCCTCAGTGACTAGAGCTGGGTCACATGCTCTAATAGTGACTAGACCATTTCTGTGACTTAGGAAGCTGAGGCAAATCCTGAAGGAACTATAGCTGGAGGCTCCTTGCTGCCCACGGGAGCAAGTCCTTTGAAGAGAGGACTTCGGTGCAGCTCCTTGTTCATCCAAAAACAAGAGGAGAAGATGTGCCAACATAGGGATGCGACCGGCCACTGTCGACAATGGGTGTTCCCGCCGTGTGACCCCGGGAACTGAGGGTTACGGCGTGGTAGATGTGGGAGAGCAGTTGAGGGGACATTTTCGGTCCTGGCACCCCTCACGGCTGCTTACGTGAGGGCACTGACCACAGCACTTCCTGTGACTAAGGCGCCAGGTCAGGTCTGTGCTCGCCTGGAAGCTCGTGCTATTACAGTGAATGGTGAGGACAAGCGGGGGCAGCGTTACTCACTGCCCAAGGACGCGCTGACAGCCAGGGCAGCTGTGGGGGAGGAACAGAAAGACGGCTCATCTAGAGTGTCGTGGGAAGGTTGGGCACATTTTATGGTGATCTCAATCCAAGCTAGGATTTACCGATACCTGGTCATGACACTCCCACGGTGTCCGGCCTCTTTGCTATAGGATTGAGATTTTAAAAACCATATTTACGTATTTTATTTTGGAATAGTTTTAGATTTACAGCCAAATTGCTACAGAAATATAGTACAGAGAGTTCTCACGTACCCCTCATCCCATTTCTGCATCGTTAGCATGTTCTATCACCACGGCGCCTTTGTTGGAACCGCGGAACCAACATTAGCACGTCCTGCTAGCTAAACTCCACGTCTTGTTCCGATTTCATCAGATTTCCATCGATGTCCTCTTTCTGTCCCAAAGTCCCATCTAAGATACCACATTGCATTAACTGTCACGTCTCCCTTAGTCTCTTCCAGCGTGTGACGGTTTCGGGCTTTCTCATTTCTCGTGACATCGACAGTTTTGAGCAGTGCTGGTCGGGTATCTTGTAGAAAGTCTCTCAGTCTGCTCTGTCCGTTCTGGTGAGACTGGGGTCATGAGTTTCTGGCAAGAATACCACAGAGGTGAGGTGCCTTGTCGTCACATCGTATCAGGGGCATGGGACACCCAGGTGGCGTCCCTGGGATGTTAGCCTCGGCTGCTTGCTAAGGGTCGTCGTATTAATTGAGTTTTGATTATTTGTTTGGCCCGAGGGATCTTAACATTTTAT